CTCTGTCTCCTCCGGTCTGTCTGGAGAGCGCATGCGCCCTATAGCCAAAACCTCTCAAAAAAAAAAAAGAAAGAAAGAAAATGTGTCAGGTAAATTTTACCCTATCTCCTCTGTTTCCTTTTCTGGGGACCTCAGGATGAGCTGGCAGTCAGCCAACACAGCAAACAGAGCCCTAGTGCAATGCGCCCTCTACGCCGTCCCCTGCCGGCCAGGAGAGCCATGGGCTCTGTGTAATGCATGGGCACCTGCTGGACAGCAACTAAAGAGGGGAGAAGGAGGGTCTGTGAGAAGGGAAAAATAGCAACTGGATGGGAAAGTCTGAATGCTGAACTATTCATAACCCGCAGAACTGTCAGGTTGGCTTCATTGCCAGGATTCTGTTAGGAATCCTGGAGAATGACAGTGATGTCAAGTTGGGAGCCACAGGTGGTGTGGAGGTTGGGAGCGCTGGATTCCCACATGGCTGGCCACGGTTTGAGTCCCAGACCTGGTGGTTGCTTTCTCATTTTCCCTCCCTCTCTTTCTCTCTCTCTCTCTGTCACTCTAAAATAAGCAAATAAATAAAGATAAATAAAAGTAATTATTTTTTAAAAAGGGGGAAAAAAGTAATGTCAAGTGTCGAAAAAGTTGGTACATTCCAGCTACAGTGTCAAAGGGGACAAAATGTGATCCCTGCGTACAGACGCCCCTTGCCTTGATGATGGGGTTTACGTCCCAGGAAATGCATCAGACTGAAAATGTCACAAATCAGGAAACAGCAGGTGGCCTGGTGGTTAAGGCGCTGGACACTCCCACATAGCTGACCATGGTTCGAGTCTCAGACCTGGTGGCTTGCTTTCTCACTGTCTCTGTCTCTATCTCTCTCTGGTTTAAAATAAATGGTTGAATAAATAAAATTAAAATTAATGGTTGAATAATAAAATTAAGACAGAGAGAGACAGAAAGACAGAAAGTGAAAAATCACCCCCCAGGGGGGATGACCATGCCACAATCCCTTCTCCTCCATTCTTCTCTCGGGATCTTGGGCACGCATGCACACGCACCTGGCGTGAGTTTAAGGCACCGGGTCTGGGACTCGAGCCGCAGTCGACTACATGGGAGTCCAGCAACATAGCCATTATGCTAACTGCTGGTCCCTCTAGTGGAGTTTTTATGATGAATTTGTTTGGATCTGGGTGGGAAGAGTGGGAGGGACCAGCTTTCATTGAGCGTTTCCCATTGTCAGTCACGATACAGACGACCCACCGAAGTCTGCCAGTCTGCCTGAGGGCTAAGTATTGTCCTGGCCAAGAAAGGTTTTCCTGTGGGGACCCAGTGACTAAGGAGCAGACTCAGAATGAAACCCAAATCAGACTCCAAAGCTCATGCACTTTGCTGAATACGTGTTGCTATCCCAAGAAAGAGACTTTGTTCGTGTGTGTTAGAACACTGAGCTGTTCTCATGATGGACCAGCTAAGTGAGAGCCTAATATGAACCCTTACAAAACAGACTTACATTGTCTTCCAGGAAGGAGTCTTCAAAAAGTTCATGGGAAATGAGTACTATTGAAAAAAAAAAAAACTACACAAGAATTTCAAAAATTTTTTCACAGAACTAAAAT